CTGAGATGGTGGACTCTGGCCCAGGGCCACCTGAAAGCATAAACATGCCAGCCCTGCTGCCAGGTACATCAGACCTGAGATGTAGGCACAGTGGGTTTGTGAGGTCACCCTGGTTTGCATATAAAAGGTGTCCTCAGGTTACCTGTGCAGTGAGACCAGACACACACACTACACAGGGCTCACATCTCCTTCAGATGCCACTGCTTTGGTTACAGAGGATGTTTACAGAGCTAATGGTTCCCCTCCAGTTAACTGCATTTCCTCTCTCTTTGTCTCCCCTCTTTGTGCCCCCTCTCATCTCAGATATTCTTAGACATGAGTGTGACTGTATTGTATGGATGGGCAAAGCCATATTATCCACCTACAGGGAGTACCTCATTTCTTTACTAACTGCAAGCCCAATAGCATCTGAAAAAAAATGGCAACAGTAACCATTCCTATCTGTTGACAACAGGTGTCAATCAGATTGAAAGTGTCTTGAGATTTGGAAAAATAGGATTGTATGGGGGGCTAGATATGGGACTGTATAAGGGGACAAGGTGCTGAATGACTGTTTCTCTTCAATTATACTCTTTCATGCACTGCAACAAAGATAATTGCTGCCTTGAGTTGCATGAAAGTACGCAATCTTACATTTTTTCTTACCTTTCTATTATAAGAAAACTTGGGTTTTATTATTGTCTAATCTTATAGACCAGTGTTTCTGCTCAACATAGAATAATTTTTTTATATATGTGGGTTTCTACTGTTTCTGTTAGACTCCTTTTTGAAGTCGCATTTTAGTCATTCTAGATTTTCCTTTCTCCATTCCCTTTCCTTCCTTCCTACATTTTCTGACAACTCATCACTAGATGTCCAGGATGTTGGGTAATACAGAGTACCTGACAAAGGTCCAGCCCATTATTCTAGGAGGACTTCAAAATCCAGTTTCACACGCAAATGTTGTTCTCAGAGATCATTCTACTGTTTTCCTTGCAAAACTTTGAATTTCTACCTTCATCAGTATATATTTTCTGATAGTCAGAAGGTATCTCTTGCTTTTATAAATGGGAAAGGTAAAAGGAAGGAGTCCCCGCTTTTCAAGTTGTTTCATACAGAAGTGATGAAGTGACAGTAGTCTCTCAGACTTTTCTTCAAATAAACCAGCAAATACAGACAAAAAATTAACTGCAAGTAGAGAAGTGAAAGGATTTAATGTAGGTGCTACCTACAGGACATGAGATCTGGTGAGATCTCACACTGCTTTTGGGAGAGCACAGATTCTGCTTTCTCATTAGTACTCTCTAGCAATACCTATATATTAGCAACATATACCTTGCTCTCTTTAAATATGTTCAAACTTGTATGTTTTCTGATCAGTCTTGCCCCAGGAAAGGCAAAACAAGTTTGCCAAATATATGTAATTTTTTTGCATAAGACAAAGCATTAAAAATGTTAAAAAGAAATCCTAGGTGTAACTCTCTACAACTCAATGTACGAACTGCTTGCTGTTAATTTGCATTTTAATACCTGAGAAGTTCACTGAAGCTCACCATGAGCCTGTTTCTTCTCAAATCTTACTCAGCTTTTAACAGAATCTGTGTTGTTACTAGTCAATATAAGTACATAAATTTTTTTCCATACTGAATAATCATCACAAAGTGATTGTTCCCTATGTATTCAGACTATACCATGTGAATACTTCCATAGATAAAATAAGTATTATACTTGACTAGGACTTTGGATCAAGGGGTTATTGCCATTGACTTTGGACCAGGTTATCCCAGGGTGCTCATACTATACATCAGCAAGTCATTTGCCTTTGTACACTAGATTTTACGTCATACAAACATATGTGTTACCACTTCCCTTCCTGTATAGGAATGCACGCTTTGCTGGTTACTAGATATAAAAATGTAATGCTGATATATGACAGCCACAGTTTGCTTTACTACCACCCCGTGTCCACATAAACTCAGGTTATTTTCCAAGGGCAAGTTGGAAACCGGTATGTGTCAGCACATATACTGACCTTGGAAACTGTTCCAAGGGGAAACTCCTCCCAATCACCTTTGGCTGATAAGTATGTAAAACAAGGAGATTCTTAGAGATCTAGAAAATATTGAAATGTGCTTTATCAGTTCTCTCACCACGTGTTAGCCATTTACCCACTGCATGCATTATCATGATTATGTGTCATTTATGGTTACTCATATACTACAAAAGAATAGCTGAACACATTATATACAGCCTTGCTTATGGTATGCAATGCACTATACATGTATAAATGCATGAATGCATACAATTAAGGAATATATAATTATACAGATATTATTATAATTATGACTATACTCCAAAGAACTTTAGTTAGCATAATGTTTTATTTATTTGCTTGTCCTCCATCAAGCCATTAGCTAGTGATAATTGATCAAGCAATTGCATTTTAATTGTGGTAATAGAGCAGCTTTGTGATTTATTCCTCTTTGTTTTGTTTCACTACAGAGTAATCATCGTTGCTCAGATGTTTAACCACCCACCCAATTTATCTATTAAAACAGTTTCACAGCCATATTCCATTAATCTCTGTAGGCTCTACAATGGGCATGACAATTTCTCTCCTTCACAGAGTAATTTCTTAATTGTGACGGTGTTTGTTATTGCCTCCTTCATTTGCACTTATACTAATTTACCATTTTTGTTAAATTTGCAGATGATATCAGGGATTTCACACGATTTTGTTAAGTAAAATAGCCCAGAGCCTGTTCTTTTTTTAAATTGATGTTAATCAGGAATCTCCTTAAGGTGTTGATGGCAAATGTAACAGAAGAAATAAACTTAGAGAGGTATATCCTGAACTCTCAGGTAAACACAAGTTGTCCTAAGTAGCTCTCAAGAGAAACAAAAACAGAACAGTAAAACAATATTTGGTCAAAACTGCAAACAACTACAACATCTTCTTCTAAAATTTGTATTTACTAGTGCAGCAGTCACCTGTTTTCAAAGTAACATAACTGTAACTTAAATTTCTTCTACTTAATAAGAAAAAATATGTATGTGTAGCTACAGTGATAACTGAAGATGTGCATTCATAGAAGAATTTTATTAATTGTTCTAGTGTACCTCCTCTGACAATGGAAATGCTACTGGTTTGAGATATATATCTTGTTATCTAAAGGATTAAATACCCAAACCAAAGCAGCAACAGAAGTCAAATAACAAATAGCTAGACTTCTTGCTATGAGATGCAAAGCCTTAAAGGTGTAAGCTGTAAGGTAGATCTGAAATGCAGCACTGAAGACCTGATTTTGAACTCATCAGCGTGTCTCTCGTCACAGGCTACTGATGCACAAAATGCTGATTTCCTCCTGTCCCCTCTGTTGCTCTGCTCCAAGGTGTGCCAAGTACTTCATTCAAAGAGTGCTCCAGCTACTACTGTTGATTCTCAATGTGCAAGAGTTGCTTAAACACTCTATTTTCTTCCATGTTTTCTTTTAAACTTATTTTGTCTCTTTCTATGTATATACTTGGTGAAATAATGGCAAATAGTGGCAAGCAACCTTGTGCTGCGGGTATGACTTTTCAATAATATTTGCAATAATATCTGTATTTAATTTGTTAGCTCCCAACTATACTGTAAGGACCTTGCCATATAATTAATACCCTACACACTGGACCTTTTGGAACAACATCCCCTTGTTGCTGATTTCCATTCTTCTGTGTAGGACAAGTGGGCATGTTTAGACTTTCAACTGCATGGTGCTTTGCAGTATGTTGCAGGCTTTATTTCTAGATAATCTTCATACACTATTTAAAAGATTTCATTATATACACAGTTTTAGGCCTATTAATGTTAATTATCTAGATGTATGGTTAGTATACAATAAACATTATCTACAGACAGTAATAGAAGTACTCTTGTTTATATGTAAGTGCTTATGTTTCTAGTTCTCAGTCATGTTGACCTATGTCATCATTATCTCCTGTTTACTCTCCATATAGCAGTTGATACATAAAAGCTGCCTCTGGGTTTTGTTCTTTTTACTGCCCTTTTCAAATGGGATATTTTCTCTAGTCAAATGATTCCTTACATCCAGAAAGGGACCATACTTTAAATACCATAAATACCATAAATATCATAAATTGTATTCTCTAATGGAGAAAACTTATCCTGATAACTGTTGTGGGGGTTTTTTTTCTACTTTTTTCTCTTTTTATTAGAAATAAGTTGCGTAATTTTAAAGAATGTTTGTTTACACTCTTTTCACAGAGGAGTAGATGTGCCCTTGGAAAGCCTCAACTTGAGGGGAAAAAAAGCATAGGTAAGTGGAATTCAATGAATAATTGATTACTGTATCAACTACATAATTATTAGGGAAGACGACAGATAATTTCGAAAGGGAAAGGAAAAAAAAAAAAAGGTTGTATACAAATAAACCCCAGTTTTTAAAAAAATCAGGCGCATTTCTCTCACCAGACCGCACAATAGCCCTGCAAGAGCAGCCACGAAAGGGGAGATGGCATGACAACCCTTCATAATGCGCCTTTCTCCCGCTCAAACGCTGCAACACGTATCACAATAGGCGAGGTAACGAATCAATTAAGGGGGACTCGGCCCCCGGGGCCGCCCCCGCCCGCCCACCAGCCCGTGCCCCGCCCGGAGCCGCCGCTCGGCTTTGTCGCTGCCCGGCGCCGGGGCTTGTAGGACCCGGGAGGCGCCGCCGCCGCCAATCGCGGCCGCTGCCGGGCTCTATTTTTGTGCGATGCCTCCCGCCCCGCGCCCGGAGAGTAACACGGACAGCGCCGCCGAAAGAATTCCCCGCCGGAGAAGGATTTGATTTTTTTTTTTTTTTTCTCCAGGGTCCTGATATACTGGGGAGAATCCGGTTTCATCCTCCTTTTTACTTCAAAAGCAAAAGTCTGCTGAGCGGCTTGTCGACTTCAGCGCTCTTGCTCTCTCTTTCTCTCTCTCTCTCTCGCTCTCTCCGTATAAATACGCGGAGCTCTGCCCTCGCTCTATGCAAGGAAAGTTGGGAAGGACTGCCTGGATGATGGAACCGCTAGTTTTCTGAGAGCCTTCTGACCCCGGAGGGTGAGTCTCCCAAGTACCAGAGAAGCTGCCGGTGCCAGGGAGGTGGTGGCCTCTCCCCGCTCCGCCGCGCCCGGGCACCGGCACCGGGAAAAGGCAACAGTTTCCTGGAGGCGCCGGGAGAGGTCACCGCGGGAGAAGGGATGCGAGAGTCGCGAGCGCAGGGATAGCGGTCCAACAAGTTTCTGTGCGGGGACCGGCGGCGAGCGTACGGTCGGGAAAAGTTGCCGGGGGCTCCGCGGGATGCGCTCCCCGCTCTTATCGCCGCCCTTGGGCTCGGGTGTTACTAACAAAGAAGTTTTGACCCACTGCCCAGCAGGCGTTCCCTCGCCGTGCCCGCCGGCCCCGGGGCGATGTCGGGGTGCCTGTCCGGCTGTCCTGCCGCCGAGCGGGGCGGAGGCGGGGGAGGGATGCGGGATCCGCACCGCAACTTCTGGCGGGGCGGTCCCCGCAGCCTGGCGAGCTCCCGCTTGTTTTCGCCGAGCTTGCTGTAAGCATTTTGCCCATTTGGCGGGATGCCGCTGCCAGGGGAGCAGCACTGCGGGGGAACGCCTCCTGTGCCCCGCGGCGCCCATCCCCGGCGGGGCGGAGAGCGAAGTTCCATCGGGAAGGGGGGGCAGGGATGTGTCTGTGCGTTTCTCTGTGTGTGTGCTTTATATAGGGTATATAATACCTTCAGAAAATTCAGCAGCCCTTGGCGGGGGGAGCGCCCCTCTACGCGGGGGCGCTGCGGCGCTCGGAGGGGGATGCGCAGCCCCGCACAATGGAGGGCCCCCAGCACGCCGGAGGAGGAGGAGGAGGAGGAGGGAGGTTGTCTCGGCTCCTCCGCTGCAGCAGCTGCTCTGCGGCCGGCACTGCCGCAGCCCGCGCCGCCCGCCCGCGGGGCAGCGCCCCCGCGGAGGATGCTCGGCCCCGCCGGCCAGGGGGTACCGCGCCCCCCGAGGGGGAACCGGGCGGACAACCCCGGCCACGACCCGCTCCTTCAGTGCAGGGTCGGCAGCAGGAGTGTTTCCGCACCTGAGTGTGAAGGTATTAAAAAAAAAAAAAAAAAAAAAAAAAAAAATTAACACGGAAGGAGAAGGGCAAAACGCATACGCGAAATTCAGGATGCAATTAAACTTACCTACAACACGATCTGAATCCGGTTTTGGTTTGTTTTTGGTTTTGTGGTTTTTTTTATTTTTGTTTTGTTTTGTTTTGTTTTTTTGTTTTTGTTTTTGTTTTTTTTTGTAAAGTGTTAATTTTACAATTTTTTTTTCTTTTTATGTTGTCTGGGGCATATTAAGGTTAACTAATGATCGATGACTTCAGAAAAAGGATTTAAATGGAGCTAAGGTGTTTTTCAATTTGAATTCACATTTTTATTACAAAAAGGAAATTTTTAAGTTGCTGATTGTTCTGAGTACATTGAAGAACTTTAGAGGCATTTCTTTTTGAGGTTTTGTGGCATACCCATGCTTCACAGACATGAGGATAGAAGGGAGAGTTCTCTGACCGTAGACCATTGTGTGTAGAGACATGCTGAGGTTCAACTGAAAGGCAAGAACTGGCATTTGAGAAGATTTCTTATTAAGCTGAAGTTCACTCTCTTCACTAAAGGAAAAAGAAGCCTTTGTTGGACGCAGTTTGCAGACAAAACAGGTTAAGAATGCCCTGTTATATTATGGAGTAATAAGGCTGATGTCCAAACATTATGTCTTATTTTACTACGTGTTCCTTTTCTACATTCACTTTATATTTGTCTGCATGCATGTTTTCTACTTACATCTTGCACTGCTGTGCATTCCAGGGACATTACACTGGTATAAACGGGCTGTAAGAGTGCAGTAAGAGATGTAGCTTTTGGTGATTAGGGGCAAGGAAAGAAGGCAGAAAGCTAATAAAATTATTCCAGTACTTCTCAGAGTAGTTAATTGCTTTTCAGTCTTTCAGCAAACATGGCCAAACTTCTGAAAATTGTGTAGCAATTGTGTCTCAAGCCCCTACAATAACAGATTCCTGCAAGCATTTTTGGTACCATGGCTGACACTTGCTTAGAAGCTGCACTGATTTCCATAAGAATCCTCATAAAAACAAAGGATGCCATTGTGGAAACGTGAAACAGCTTGTTTGTTGTTGAGTGACTTTTTACTTAGTGAAAGGAAATTCAATCCTTTCCTCTTGCTTTCCTTAGTAATATTGAATCCTCAGTATTAAATATTGACCAGTTGAATATTGGAGAAATGAGGAGGACTCAACCGATTTTGGAATGAGGTATCCACAGGTGTCTTCATCAAGGCATAAACAAAGGCTTATTAGACATAGTCTCCCAATATGGTTTTAAGGAGAACTAGATTCTTAATAAGAGAGAAGGCTGTTTGAGTTCTGTTGCTTTCCTTTATCTTGGGGGGGATGTTGTTGTTTTGTTTTGTTTTGTTTTTTCACTTTATGGACTTTTCATATTGTCTCTGCTGTAATTGGATTTGGGCCACAATAAGCAACATAGTCCCCATGGACCTTATACATTCAAAGTACTCCCTTCAAGTGACTTTTCAAGGCATTATGTGCACATCTGAACTTCACTCTGAGCAACAGAGTCACAGGTGTTAGTCACAGGAGGCTCAGATTTTTTTGAGGAAACCATAGAAAATTTCAATGTATGCAGAGGAGCAAATGCAATGTGCTTTACTCATGTGTAAAATATTAAGTAGAACTGAGAGTTGAGAAGTCTGCCTTCTTCTGTCTGCATTTCCCTGGCTCATTTATAGTGGCATATTTAGCAGACTTGTATAGTTCAACAGGTAGGTGTGTAAAAAAGGAGAGAAAAAAAAAGAATATTGGAGGAAGGAAGAGATTTATATTTGCTTGACCTTTTATGTGAGGGGGATTCCATGGGCTATGATGCTTCTGGGATGGAATCAGCTGGCAAGCAAATGAGTCCTTAGGTCAAAACTTAAAAATGAGCAGGAAACTGTGATTTTTGTTTGCCCAAATTTTCACTTGCCCATTTGAGTGTGTTCTGTGTCCTCAGAAACACGTAGCAATCTCGTGTTGCTTTGCTTAGAGCCAGACATGGACTCTCAGGTAGCAGGTAACAGGAAGTGTATGTTAATGTGTTAAACCATCAGAGGCTACAAACCTGTGCTTGTGAAAGAAAGAGAGGAAGAATTTAATAGTGGGCCTAAACTTTACTTTTTCCACCTTTATATTTTCTTCAGATGCCCTTTTCTGTGGTTTAGAATGCAAGTTATATTTTTTAACACCTATAATGTGTGTCCTTGTGCTAATATATTTCTGTGCTTTCTTGTTACCTACGTCTTTTTTGAAATAAAAGGTCAGGAACTTTACACATTTTGATCTCTTCTCTTGAGGAAAATACTAGAATAATTGCATATAAATACTCAAATTTCTTGGTAACATTATTTGTGAACACTTACACTAGGAAATAGTATTTCCCTGTGGAAATACATGTTCAACATTTGGTTCTAGACTCAGAAGGAGCTTATGGCCTAATGTTTTCTCCATCTGTTTCTGTGTTCCATAACACCATAACTCAACCAATTTGAGTGGATTTGCACATGTATTTGCCTGTATTATAGGGAAAATGGCCTCTTCAAGAAAAGTTTAGACACTTACAGATTTCTAGGTTCATCAAAGGGGAATACATCATACAACAGAAATATCAAGAGAATCATTGTATGTCCTCCTCAGCAATTGTAATAGGATAGCCTTTAAAAAAACCAAAAAGCTGTAGAAAGGACAGGGAAAATGAATAACCCTAGAGCCCTTGAAAGAATTATGAAGCAAGTACACATACCTTGAGCATGTAGGTTAAACAGCATCATTAGGTTTCATAAAACTCAAGTAATCCTTACCCAGCACGCGATGGGACATAATGAAATGTTCCCTCCAATCTGTAAGAGACTTCATAGACTATCCTGTTTCACCTGTAATACTCTATCTGTCTAAACTGCCCAGTCCATAAATCTTTCATTCCCTATCCATCCTCTAATCATCAGTCCCATCAGCCCTCTCTCACCATTGCCAATTTATAGTCTGTCAAACACATCAATCCTTTGCCTCAATTAACTCTCTCTGTCCTCCAAATTTCTCTACTCATTAATCTGTCCTTGTCCACAGTGAGGTCCAAGTGTGTACCATCCTTTTGCCTCCCTCTGTGTGACTTCCATAAGGGCATTTTTGTTTGTTTGTTTACAGTCCTGTATCATCCATCTTTCCTTAGCCATTTCCAGATCTGTGCTCCAGGTCTGTCAAGTCATGTTTTTATACAGTAAATTTATTTCCCATGGGGTCCTCTGGCTTTCCTCTTTGTCAGTGGTGAACACACTGAGCGTATTTGTCTTCTTTCCATACTCATCTCCTGTTCGTCAGAGTAAGTTGATCCTTACACCAACAAAATGAGTGTGGCAGGAGAGAGAAAATGAGTTGGCAAGCAACAGCAGTGTGAATTGGTAACTTACTGGTTGTCCCCAGCTGAGGGGAGATATTGCTAGTTCTGGTATGAGTTCTCAGTAATACAATTGGCTTCAGACAAGTATCATGTGGTTATAATGTTAAAAATTGGTCTAAGGAGTCAGAATCAGAGCCCAGAAAGTTTTATATTCAGTCAAGTGCTTGAGTTCTTAGGCCACAGACTTTTCTTATGTGCTATTTGGGCCCCAAAGTCATCCTTTTCTCCTTCCAGGATGGCACAGTTAGGATGGAAGATGTCACTTGCCTGTCTTCCTTGAACCACAATGTTGAATAGTTTAAGTTAAGGCTGAGGAGGTATCAGAGACCTGAATAGAATCATGAGACCTGAATTTCTGGCAAGATTGTAGCTGGAATTGAGGTCCCTTACTTCCAAATGAAACAATTCCCTCACAATATATCATAGAGTGGCTGGAGAGCAGCCAGGCAGGAAGGGACCTGGGAGTTTGGATTGACAGAAAGCTGAACATGAGCCAGCAGTGTGCCCAGGTGGCCAAGAAGGCCAATGGCATCTTGGCCTGGATCAGGAACAG